ACCAGTTGATGGAAGTATTTCAGATTGCATGTGAAAACCCCACACTGTACCCTAGAAGTGCATTAATGTACATAGTTACCATTCAATAAAAAATATATATATATTAAAATTGTAATAATATACACCAACAACATTTGTTACCTTGTGCATCTTGTATCTCTTGTAATTGCAGAAACCAAATATAACTTGAGTTTTAACATTTTAATACATTCTTTTCCTTCCTTAAATTGTGTACACATTTTTTTGGCACCCTGTGTGTGTATGTGTTTTCTAGCAATATAAATTTTTTTCCCATCTTTTCCCAGTATCCCAGCAGCATATGCAAAATCCTAAAGTAGCTGAATGTCCTTAGGACTTAGCCCTAGGGTTTGGGCCAGATGGGCACCTGGATGGATGATGGACTCAAAGGAAGAAGCAGGATGGGCAATGTTTTTGCCTGCTGTGGAACTGAAGAGGACAGCACCACCCTCTGTCATGGGTCCTATTGTGTACCGCTTCTGAGGACCATGGAGCTGCTCTTCCCAGCAGTAACGCCAGCAGACATTGATGATGGCCTGCACAGCAGCCATTGCTCACGTCTTTCTTACTAATGGAATCCTAGTTCCATTTGAGTGGCTGTGTTCTGGAGATCCCAGGGAGCTGGTGGGGAAGAAATGAAGTTCAGGTTAAGGCAATTTTAGCAATCCCATTTATAATGATTGATTCAGAGCAAAGTACATGGCCAAGTATTGCCAATGACACTTAAAGCAGAACACACCAAGATTCTGAGAGTCAGAATTCTCTCTTAGTAACAGAGCATTTAATAAGGAGGCCTTTCCCTTCCTTTAATCCTGAGCCTCACTGGCAACTCTATCATGCTGATGTGACACCTGGAGCTTCAGCAGCCATCTTGTAGCCATGAAGCAATAGGACAGAGCACAGCCGCCAAAACACTGAGCAAGTTACAGTGGAAGAACATAAGCACCAAACTACTTAGAAAGTCCCTGATTTACTAGACCAACAAACAAAAATGTCACTTGGAGTGTTGCACAAGTGCTGAGTAATGATTCTCTTAATAGGTCAGATACATACAAAATTTTTGCAAATTAAATACCAATTGAATGTCAGGTGGAAAAACAACAGCTGCATAAATAAAATGAAAAGAGATGCAACTGTGAAATGTCATTAAAAGAGGACTTTGCATCAAAATAGTCCAAATATTTAAAAATATCCCAGCGTGGCCACTGCATTGCTGACTAGTCCTCCTGAGTACATAATCACCATAATGATCTCTGTGTCTTGTGGGCAGACTGGGGCACTCAAGTAAAAATCCTGGTCCTCAGAGAGCTCCGCATGCTTCAGCCCAGAGTCTTTCTGTCACTACCCAGAACACATAATGCTATCTCAAAGAGCCCAGTTTTTAAGTATCCCTGGCTTGGCTCAGGGAAAGGGGAATGTCCACAGAATTTGAGTCTAGAATGCCCAAAGGTCTTTATGTCTTGCTGTTTCCAGGAGACTCCACTACAAAGTCCTGCCTAGGTCATCTGCATTAGTTCACATTTCCATACCCCACTCTTGCTTCCTAGAAGAATGCTTAGGGTTCAGCCAGAGAAGAAACCCTAGGGTGGGATGGTAGCAGGGATGTACCCACTCATGTCAAGATCTTCTGGCCCTGATGAAACCCTGCAAAGAAGACCTCACTACTGATAATCCATCTCCATATTAATCTCAGCTTTCCAGTAACTTTGCATTGTCTCTGAGATCAGCCTGGCCTGGGCTCCAAGGGTGCATGAACTCAGCTTTCCAGGGGTTCCCACTTCTAGCCCACATGGAAAGAGGCCAGATGTTCAAGACAGAGTTTACCAAGACATAGCAAGTGATGAATGTGGGGAACATGAAAATACCTCTGCTACGCTGGAGGCAGGAGATGAGCAAAACTGAAAAATGCACAGGATGTGACGGGTTGACACCAACATCACAATTCAGTTAGTATTGAGCTGCAGGCATATGCAGGGAAATAAACAGTTTCTTCTCACCCTAAATAAGTCTCTGATTTTCCTCCAGGTGGGAGCTGAGGAAGAAATACAGATTCCTGAAATTTTGGTCATAGAAAACACAAGGCAATATTAGACGAACCTCATCCCCTAATTAGTATCTGGCAAGAATCATATTCCTGCCCTAATCCTCCTTTCCAGAGTCAGCACAACTTGGTTTTGCCAAACACAAAACTCACACCAAAGCTATGGTGTCAGTATTTACACCAGAGGAACTGGCGAATGCTATACAACAGGTATTGTCTTTGAGAGAGTTGACTGTTAAACCTTTACCAGCATACCATTGGTATGATAAATTTCTAAAACCCAATTTAAAGAAAACAGAACAGACTTTATTTTTTTTTAAAGCTATGAAATCAACATCCTCCTGGAAAATTAGAGAGTTGATAAGCCATGTCTGTTTCTATAGTGTACCCCATCCTGTTTACACTTCTCCCTCATCTGAAGTAACCAATGGCCAAAATCTTGTGTTCAAATTTCCCTTGAAATTTTATAAATATAGTATTATCTCATGTACATCTATTTGTGTGTACATACACATGAATCCTGTCATTTTAAACTTTATTGCAAAGTATAATTTTCAAAAGTATTTTTAGTATCTCATCAAATATATAGTGAGCCCATGTTAATTTTTTATTAATTCATTAATGATAAAATTATCATTGAAAATTCCTATCTTTGGGCCAGGTGTGATGGCTCATGCCTGTAATCCTAACACTCTGGAAGGTGAGTGGATTGCATGAGCTCAGAAGTTTGAGACCACACTGAGCAAGAGGGAGACCCTGTCTCTAAA